AGTTGCGAGTTGCGATTTTACTGCTATAAATAAATAAATGCCTTTATTGTCAAAAAATTTTACCATTTGTAGACAAAAGTAAAGTAAACAAACAAAAGAGAATACAACACAAGTATACAAATTACATTGTCAGTCTTAAGCTACACGCACACTGGTGCGATCACGGCCGCGATCACGATCACGTTCACCGCCGTACCTATATATAGTGAGCTATCCTGTAGGTATACATAGGTACAAATTAAAAATGTGAATTATCTATACCGAAAAAAAAACATTCTTAAATATTTACCTACAATAAAAATGTATACATACATATATGTACTATCCAATCCAATTGCAACTCCAATTTTGCCTCAAACTTTTTATTTTTAATTCTACTATTTTTATAACGTGGATCGGATAAATTATATACAGTACGTCTGTCCGTTCTGTGACTACGGGGTATCCGTGAGAGGGGAAACGATATTCTATCGATGTTTTTCGTAAAAAATTAGACGACGCGTCCCATCAATAAAAATTCGACAAATTTGCAAGCAGCCAATAAAATGAGTGGGCGGAGCGATTTGCGGTGACGTACTCGTCAAGTCGACGTATAAAATATATTGCTGTTTATTTAAATGTTTTTTGTCCACATTCCTTTCATAGACACAGATCCAGCAGACGAACTGTAGAATTTTGTGTATTTTTACAGCCACTGGCAAGTTTAGCTCCTTAGAAACAGACCTTAATGTAATTAAGGTCTGTTAATTAATTAAAATAAAAAACAGAGCCTAATTTTTTCGACAAAGCGTCGATATGCATGTCCAATTTTAAAGAATTGTCTAAGCCCTAAGAATTTTACAGATTTTACGACGCCAGTGGTGGTGTTAAGTACAAAAGGCTGCAGCGAGTTTTTATATGACAAAGCTTTAGTTTTAAAAATGAGACTCAGGAGGTTGACACGGCATATTAATCACACGGCAGGCCGACTCGCTTTGGCGGGAACGCTACGCGCATATCCTCGCGCACGCCGCCATTTGCGTTTCCAACAACAGAAAGTAACCAGTGTCGTAGTTTTTTCAGCGACAACACACAGTTACGGCAGATTCGAGTCAGTAGCGTGCGGCTTAATTTATTTTGATTTTTTCTTGAGTGATATATTTTGTTTTTGTTGTTTTATTTTTGTTTATTATGTGATGTATTTGGTTTTTCTAGTTTTATTTTCGTTTCTTATGTAATATAATTGCCAATAGGTGTCCGGTGGCGTAGAGGTACAGGCTCTCGTCTACCAATCTCAAGGTAGTGAGTTCGAATCCCACACTCGGCATTTCATCAGCCGACAATTTTTATTAAAATAAAAATAGTTTGGGTACCTAGGTCGACTCAGCCTTAAATGAGTACTTGGGTTTCACAATCCTGTGGTAATAATAGGCGGTTGAAGCGTAGTGCTAGCCACATTACCTTCCTTTGTATACCGAACGGCTCTAGTATGGCAAGCTGTACCTTGCTACTCCCAAGGCGTCAAACGCTATATACGGGAGCTGTTATTATTATTATTATGTAATATAATTTGTTTTAGTAGTTTTATTTTTGTTGTTCAATAAAAGTTTTTTTCTGTTTCCTAGAGATCCTATTAGGTATGTATATATGTGATTAATTATTTTAACATATTTTAGTTGTGAAAACAGTAGTATACATATTAGGACATTCAGCTAAATAGGAATATCTAATTAAAAATCTTAACAAACTTTAATATTAGTTAGATTTAATGTTAAATATTTAGTAAAATTTAATGTTGTATCTAGACATTAAAAATTAAATTTAAAAATCATTATACTATTAATTTAAATATAATTATAAAAGTAAATAAAATGAGTATATCGAAAATAAGTTAACAATACATTTTTAGAGCAACATGGGCAATTGCAGCTAATAGAGAAGACTTGATTGAAGATATAAATAAGGCCCACAAAAGGTACAAGTTGTGTTCTGTTCATTTTGAATTTAAACTGTTTACCAATTCACTTTGTAACCGTATAAAATACAATGCGGTACCTACTCTGTTTCCTGCCATGAAAAAAATAGAAGTTTCTCAAAAAAAATTGTGGATTTATTAATTTGTGAAATTTGAATATTAATAAAATTTGCGACGCCCATTGATGGACATAATTTGTACGTAGCCTCTTTATATTGTTCAATAAATATTTTATTGGTATTTCTTTAATTCTTGTTTGTAACTCCTGGCATGTTTTTGTTAGTGGCGTGTTTTTTAATTTTAATTGTCTATTCTCTACAGTGAAATATTTAATTGATTTTTTCATTTTTACTTTTCGAGAAGTATGCGCGGTTAACGATTCATTTGTTTGGACAAAAGTATTGTGTAAATAAAATTCAGTTTCAGACAATTACAGTATTTTTTTAATACGACCCTGTCGTATTTTCTGAGAAATTTTTTGATACGTTTTAATCCGGCCCTGACTAGGAAACGATAATGGCGCTGTCAAGGTCAAATTTTATAGAAATTTTAAACAATGGAATCTGAGCAGAGTTGGCGTGCCGATTGTTTTATGTGCCGTGAGGTTGATGAATTGGAAGTGAATGGAAGTGCCGTGATGTCCTTGTTGCTCCAAGTGAAGCTAGTGTCGTCCGCAAAAAGAGATATTTTACCACTAATGTTTATGTGAGCAATGCCTAACTGAGCCTTGAGGTACAGTACGTCTGCTGGATCTGTGTCCATGAAAGGAATGCGGACAAAAAACATTTAAATAAACAGCCATATATTTTATACGTCGACTTGACGAGTACGTCACCGCAAATCGCTCCGCCCACTCATTTTATTGGCTACTTACAAATTTATTGAAGGGACGCGTCGTCTAATTTTTTACGAAAAACATTGAGAGAATATCATTTCCCCTCTCACGGATACCCCATAGCTACAGAACGGACAGACGTACTGTACTCCACATTCTATTGGCTTGCTAGAAGATAACGTGGTATCCACTCTCCTCTCACAAGTTGACTTCTGTTGCTCAGATACGACTTAAACCATTCGAGAGATGTTCCCCTGAATCCATAGCAGTTTTTGCAGTTTATTAATTAGAATCTTATGATTTACACTAATCGAACACCTTAGAAAAATCACAGAAAATTGTTGTTGTAGAATGATGGTTATTTAGGCTGGAGTAAATTTTATTAAGGAGGGAAAACATAGCGACATTTGTGGAGTTGTTGATTTTGTTGTTTTTGCTATTGTGATTTTGTTGTCCATTGAAGCATTTTATAATAAAGTTGCGATTTAATTTTTTCTCTGATTTTATTTATTTATAGAAAAGGTATTTTTTTCTAGCGCTAAGGTAACAATAAACCTGGTGTTTCTCAAGAGTGGTTTGCCCCTATAACTTTTTTATTTTGTCTGATAGTAAACGAGATTTGGTATATTAGCATATAACATAAATTAGGATTGATTAACGTATTCAGTTCGTTTCGATCACTTCCTGTTTCACCGGAAATCACTACAACTTTTGATTTTTAAAGGCACCCTCGGTATATTTTTATTTTATTCGATAGAAAATGACACACTAAATAGGATGGCATATTGGCATATCATATTTCAACTTTTGACATATACGCTTAAAAAAATTTTAAATCATATTTTAAATTTCATACTAGAATGCCATTAGCTGCATTAAAAAAACACTAATTTTTAATCAAGAATCCTTGGAAGAAAAGTAATTGTCAATTGCTTTTCGTGTATTGTCCTGGCCGATTAAAAGATGCCCAAATCGTATTCCTAATCATATCTCAATGTTTTCAAATGGAACGAAGGTGGCTCATTAGCATATTTAGAAAAAGTATTTTTTAACGAATAATTTGGTACCACACATTTGGCATTTCGAGTCAAATTGTCAGATGTTAAAAAAATTAAACAACTAAATTTTATTAACTTTTTTTATTTGTTAAGCTAGGTAAGGTACATACAGAGACAATTATTTCCTTAGTACAATCTTTAAATATTAAAATAGCAATAGTAGGTTGTAGTTACAGCGATTTAAAAATCGCAATCGCAGTTTTAATTGCGATTGGAGAATAGCAGTTTAGCTCATCGCATTACGCAATAGGAGTATTGTGTGTTCAAAAATCCTGTATTAATAGTATTCAAAAATTATTAAATAATTCTTAAGCCCTTATTACTTATTACTTTACTAAAGTAACTCCATAAAATAATCCCTACAAAGCAGGATTGTTGCATAGAATAATACTCGTATTCATGTTTTCTTCAAAACTATACAAGAACCCAACAAGAATTATGGCTTAAATTATGATCTTATAAAAGGATTTATTAGCCAAATCTTATTATACACTCTTTGGGTGGTCCTCGGTATTATGGCCACTAAAACAGCTGCATATTCGGCTATTTAAACACATTTTTTTTCTGAATGTTATTAATTGGGACACACTGCCCGAGTTCGGGAATTAAACATTCCAATTTAAATACGCGTCAGTGACGTTTGACCTCTAGGGAACCACTGGGACCTCTAAATTTGGATAGTTAGTCACTTTTAATAGAACTTAAAATGCTAAATGGGGAATATACTCTAGATATACTTTTCTAGGGAAAATTAGACGCTAAAAAGAAAGAGAGGTTATAGGATTTATGCTCTTTTACTGGTGTATAGGGTTTTCAAAAATATAAAAAAGCAGTTACAATGAAATACTTGGGCGTGTCAGATTTTAATAGTGTTTGCATAGTAGGGATTAGCCCTACGAAGTGGTAGAAAATGAGAAAAGAAAAACCTGATTCGAATGCGTCAGATATTCAAAAGGAATGTTAGGTAAACCTTAAAGAAACTCTTCTTCAAAAGACTAAGGATTTGGATGCTACCAAAACTCTTAGAAATACATTTTTGGAGTGTGAAATCGATTGGTTTTGTTTAAAGTAATCAAATGGTACAAAAAACTACTGCCAGAAGTATCTTTTGTTTTTAATGTTTTACATTTTCTTATAAATTCCCTTGTTTCAGGAAGACGAGGACTCCAATTATGAAGAGGACTTTTTCGACACTTCAGACGAAGATGACGACGACGACGATGATTTCCAGGCTGAGGAACCAACGGAAAGAACCATTCCAGGTACTTCAAAGTTTTTATTATGGAGCCTTTATGAACGGAATTATTGAAATTCGTTTTGTAAATTTTTGTGTTCGTTAATTATGACGAGATTGACGAGTCTACTACTTTTTCTATCATAGTTATCGTCATACTTTCATATTATGTAGTCATGAAAACGACGGCTTTGATTCCGAAACTAGGAAGTTGAAAAATGTATTTTATCGCGTAAAACTACCATGGTTTTTCAAATAGTTGTAATCAAAATATCTAGAAAAAATTTATTAGCCAAAAAATTAAAAAAAAAACGTATTTCAAAAACCATTATGCCTTCGGAAAATTAATTTTTCAATTTCTCAGTGAGAGGAATCAAAGTCTCTCTTGGTCTTGCAGTCTAATAAGTAGTTTTGACTCTTGCTAGTCTTGTACTTTTTTAATAGATTTTTTGTAAGACATTTTTTACACCAAAAATCTTTAAATAAATAGTATTTTAGGTAATATAACGCAAATGAAACTTTAAAAAAAGAAACAACATTTGTCTGATAATTTTTTTTATTTTTCAGATATATTGAATCGTAATTAAAATCAGTTTTTTTTCCTTTAAAATTTTGTGTAATAGTGGGGAAAACACTTCTTGCAATAAATTAAAATAATAATTTTGAACAAATAATTAACTTGTTATATATATATTTTTTTTAATTATTAAAAAATGGAAGATTAAAAATCATTAATTATCAAAATCTGACATCCAGAAAAAATATAACTGTTACATTTTTAAAATATTTTATTTTTGTAGTGGCAAAACAATACTCCAGCCTATCTGAATACAAATGGGATCAGTATGGTACAAGGCAAGGTGTGACGGAAGCGAGGAACCGTCAACTGAATATCAGAAAAAATAGCGAAGGTAAAATTGAAAATTCAATTTGTCAGTAAATATTATTAGACTTATTATTACCAAATATATATATATATATATATATATATATATATATATATATATATATATATATATATATATAAACGGGATTTGGTTTAAGTATTTAATACTCATTTCCAACTACAGCCTATTGCTGCCTTCCCGTTACCCTACGCCACACATCTCGATTTAGAGCGTCATCAGCTTCTAGGTTACGAGCTTCCATTGCTTCCGTAACCGTTCCGTTCCAGGATTTTCTAGGTCTACCTCTCTTTCTTCTGCCCTGGGGAGCCCATTGAAAAACTCTTTTTGGCCACCTGTTCTCCGGCATACGCAGAACGTGTCCAAACCATTTTAAGCTGGATTTTTCGATTCGATCCAGTACTGTCTCCTCCGATGCATTCATGATACGCCTGACCTCGATGTTTGTCTTTTTTTCCATTGGCTTGATATACCTGCGCTTCTTCTAAGGTAGTCCATTTCAACAACTTCGATTTTGCGTTTCGCGTCTGCACTCAGAGTCCATAGCTCTGAACCATAGCAAAGAACTGACTCCACCAATGTTCTTCCAAGTCTCTTTTTAGTTGTTGCAGATAAGTTTCGGTCCCACCAGAGGCTGTTAAGACATTTAATAACTTGTTTGCTCTTCTGAATTCGGGTTTGTATTTCTTCTTTGCCCAAACCCTCGTTGTTGATAGTAGCACCCAGGTCCTGCGCAATCACGACCTGATCGTCTGCAAAGCTCAGGGTAAATAGTGTGTTATCCCCAATGGGTATTCCCATACCTTGGCATTTCGTCTTCCATTCCCTAAGGGCTACTTCGACGTAAGCGTTGAAGATCAGAGGAGATAAGCTGCATCCTTGTCGCAACCCTTTTGTGGTGCTAATTGGATTAGATAGCCTGTGTCCTATCTTAACGTACGATTCATTTTCTTTATATAGCTCTTTTATTATCTTAAGCAAAGGTCTATCTACTTCTAAGATATTCAATACTTCCCATATCTTGCTGCGGGGAATAGAGTCGTACGCTTTCTCCAAATCAATAAATGCTAGATGGACTTCTTGATCTACTGCTATCTTTTTTTCCATCACCTGCTGCAGGACAAAAAGGTTATTTGTGCAAGATTTCCCCGGTGTGAATCCGCTTTGGTCTTCCGAGATTTTGTCACCAATACTGTCCCTGAGCCTACCCTGTAACACCTTTCCAAAAAGTCTGTTGACCGAACTGTTAATGCTTAGGCCTCTATAACAAGTGGGGTCGTTACGATTTCCCTTTTTAAAGATGGACACTATGTGAGCCACTCGCCATTCTCGGGGTAGTTTACTTTGCAGGCAGCACTGGTTAAATAGATCTGCCAGACGCCAGCGCAGTCTTTGGGTTCCACACTTTAACAATTCCGCTACAATATTACCAGGACCTGGTGACCGCCCATTTTTCATTCGATTGAGATCTTGATGGACTTCTCTTTCGCTTATCATTAAAGTGCCTGCAAGGTTGATCTCATCTTCTACTGCTTGAAATTCTGGTCGGTTTTCTGTCAGTAATTCTGCATAGTAGTTGCGCCATTTTTCTATATCCATTCTATTCAAGAGCTTGTCCGTTTGATTGGTTTTCATTTGTCGGATTGTTCTCCATACCTCAGTACTCCGTGCGCCCCCTATTAGGCTTTCCACTTGCTGACACCTTCTTTCCCAAATATCTGTTTTTCCTATCTTAATGGCGGCTCGTACCTCTCTATTTTTTTGCTTGTAATGACTCCAGTTAGTATCTGTTCGGTCTGAGAGCCATCTTTCATAGAATTTTTGTTTGTCATTGATTAAGGCCTTTATGCTGTCAGTTATCCAAGCTGGTTCATCTTTTTTTTCTGCATGTTCTGTTCACCTAAAACTTCGAAAGCTACTTTTTTAATTAGGGTTTTTAGGTTGGTATACTCTAGTTCTACATCGTTACAGGCTTTCACTTCCTCTAGGGCTACATCTAATCTTCTCTGGTACAACCATTTAATACTGGCATCGTGTAGTAAATGAAGCTTGTACTTAATAGGCTCAGATTCTTCAATTCTTATTACCAAATTCTTCAAAATTATTACCAAATCAAATCTAAAATAAAATTTAAGACTGAACATCAGAGTTGGACCCAGTCAGAGTAAAACGTTATATGACTTAAAACCATAGAACATATATTTATTAAAAACGTAGAATAAACATTATATCAACTAAGCATAAGATACAGCAAAATGATCTTCGTCGTTGCTGAGTGACTTGAATGCTGAATCAAAATCAGAAATATCAGAATCAAGATTATTTTCAGCACTCTCACTTTGGACTTTGGAGAGTAAAATATAAGTGGACCAACATTTTTGAATGTTGAAATGACAGTCGAATGGGTGTGTATATCTCCAGTTAAGGGTTTCTTAAACTTTTTTTTCAAAAATATTGCAAATATACCTTAAAAATGTTTGTGTTTATTTTATCAAGAAGGGAAAATGAAAAAGATTAAGTATACCGGGTGCGTCTCAAAAGTGGTTCACCCCCTATAACTATTTCATTTCTGCAGATAAAAAATCGAGGTTTGGTAAGTTAGTATATGACATAAATTAGGATTGATTGACGTATTCAATTATTTTTGGTCACTTCCTGCTTCACCGTAAACGATTATAACTTTAGATTTTTAAATGGCACCCTCGGTATATTTCTATTTTATTCGATAGAAAATCACATTCTAAATAAAATGACATATCATATATGTCACATATGGTTTATTGGAAATAATAACTTGCGGTTTGGGACAAAAATTTGACTCGAAATACCAAGTGTGTGGTATCAAATTCTTCGCAAAAACATCCTTTTTCCAAACATGCTAATGAGCCACCCTCTTTCCATTTAAAAAAATTGAGGTGTGAATAAAAATACGATTTGGGCATCTTTTAACAGGCCACGATAAGACACTAAAAACATTAGTCTATCAAAGCTATTTTTCCAAGGCTCCTTAATGAGTGTTTTTAACATAGCCATGAGTAGATTGAAATTTAAAATAAAATTTTGTTTTAAGCGAAAATGTCAAAAGTTGACATATGATAAGTCATTCTATGCAGAGTGTCATTTTCTATCGAATAAAGTAAAAATATACCAAGGGTACCATTTAAAAATCAAAAGTTGTAGTTATTTCAGGTAAAACAGGAAGTGGCCTAAAATAATGGAAAACGTAAATCAGTCCTAATTTATGTCATATACTAACATAATCTCGGTCTTTTATCTGAAAAAAAAATAAAAATGTTATAGGGGTGAGCTATTTTTGAGACGCACCCGGTATAGGACCACTGATACATTTCAGCAATTTTAATAACTCATAATAATAGACCTAAAGTTAACCTAATGTACTACCTAACTGACTATGGTTGTACTTGTTGTAAGACAGCCTAATGTACTGCAATTAATTGAACATAGTGAAACAATAACCGCCGCTTGTGAAATTGCGAAGTTCACAGGATAGCCTCTAAGTCAAACTAAATAACCAAAAATATCCGGAGAAATCAAAGGGAGAAATGAGTAATCATTTAATCAATCAGACTCAATCAAACTAACCTTCTTCAACATTCTCGATATTGTCGACATTTACTTCAAAGTCAACGTATTGTCGACCTCGACGACAATAAATTATTCAAAGTGGTACACGGTTTAGGCTATATACTCTCCTTTATTTAAAATACATTCTGTATCTTATTAGGTATTTAAATTCACTGAAATTGATTAAACAACAACCGTTCCGGTATTACCTCACCTCATTAACTCTATTATCTCACGAGCATCGGATAATTCCTTTGCACCTGGGGATATACAGTTCAGATCCAGCTCTAGAGCGACAACGCAACGGCTCTCTCGGACAAGCAAGACCCCACAGACGGTGCTCTTCGATTTTGAGACAAGTAATTTTATCGGAATGTAATTACGTCTCGTTTTCAAACCGCAGGACACGTAGATACATATGTTCTTGGCTTAAATAGGCGTTGTCGGAGATAATTTTGAAGCTCAGTGTGATTAAAATTAATTATTATTATTATTATGCCGGGTCCAGACCAAGCAGACAAAACTACTACTACTGCCATTACTCGCTGACGAGTATTTGACACGCATCAAAAGATGGTTACGTAAGGCGTTTCCTGTCATGAGCTTTTCTGTGACTGAAAAGCCCGATACGTGATGTTATCTCTCTTCCACATTTTGGACATTCAAAAATCTCATTACTTTGTTGCCTCTTTACTTTTTGGTTGTCATTATTAACTGAATTTACAATTCTCCTCCATTGCGTTCCATTGTGCGCTGCTTCCTCCCACTTTTGCTGCATACTGCTGCGTGCTGCACATTAGTGTTGCAATGAAATTCAAGACAAGAAATTTTGTAGAAAAGTCTTGTCTTGCAGATTTCTTGAATGGCAAAGTCTTGTCTTGTCTTGCAAGACTCTTGAAATTTCTTGTCTTGAAAAAGTTTACATTTTTACAGTTTTTTTATAATACCATTATACCAATATAATTTTGTGTATAATACCAATTACCAATATACAGTTTGTTGCCTCGACTTTATTTTATTTCATTCTCAACTCTAAATCATTGGCTGTGATAGAAAAAAATGAACACTGGACAATATTAATGCCGGGTTTATACAACAATTGCATAAGTCGTATGTAAAATCGTTATTTTTGGGGCTTACTCAACCGGGTCTCACAATGCAAATTCACCTCAAATATCCCTTTTTTTAAGTTTCTGAAGGAAAGCATATTTTTTATTAGAATAGTGAATTAATAAAAGCATTATTATAACAAACTTATTTTCCAAGTTTTATACGTAATCATAAGCGCAGTCTTAATTATCGAATGTAATACCACAAGATGTTTCGGGATTACCGAATAATACTTTTACCTGACACGAAATGCGTTACCTGACTGGTAAATACGACTCCGAAGAAGGAGTTGTGTTGCCGGTATCGCATTG